AAATGCAAAAGACATGGAAGTTATGATTCTTCAGCATCAGGAGCAGTTTGAATTTGGACCTCGACGGGTTCTTGAAAAGCTACTTCGGCAACCTTCTCGGCCATGATCTCGACATCAATTTCGGCAAGTGTTTGATTAAGACTATCATCGGTAGGAGGGACATCAGATGATGCTTGTTCAGGAGTAGCCTCCTTAATAACCTCTTCATCCTCTTCGTGAGTCAGGTCTAGGATTTGATCATCCTGAGGAAGAGATTGGATCTCACCAGCGTCCTTGGGCTTCCTTACTAGAGCATCACCGTCATCGTTATCCTCATCTTCGGCTTCAGGCTCAGACTCAGATTCTTCTTCAGCCTGACTTGGAGGTGGAAGAGGAGGAAATGGGAGAGGAACAACTTCAGCATTACGCAACGGCGAGTCATCTGGGATGTTGAGTTTTTTGGCAAGGGCCATCCAACCAAGGAAGAAGCCCCTGTTGCATGCGTGCTTAACTTGAAGTTTGTAGTCCTCAGTGACGTCGGCCATGCCCTGGGCATAGGCCTTCTCATCAGCTTTTTCGATTTCGGTTTTTTTTGTGGCCAGAGCTTTTTGAAGCTCTTTCTCAGCCTGAGCCATTTTCGATTTAAACTCCTCATTTTCAGCTTCAGCAACTTTTCTAATAGCCTCAGCAGACTCCGCTTTTTCTTCGGCTATTTGCTGGGCCTTAGTAGCAGCCTCGGCCTGATCTTCCAATTTCTTCATCTTTGATTCAAAAGATTTACTGTCCTTTTTTAGGGTAGAAATCTCCCTCTTCATGTTGACCACTCTTTGTCGATTTTCAAAAGATTACATCGAAAATGAATAGGCGTGCTGGATGGCCTGAACGAGAACAGAAGTGTTAGAAAATCTTCTAAGTATGAAGCAGAAAGAAAAGACAAAACAAGAAACACTTACTTGAACGGAGTGCTGGAGCATTAGCGCGTAGTTTTCGTACTCGCTGTACCCAGCATTTCGCTCCAGATCGCTTGGAAGGAGAAGAGTAGTACTGAGGGCGACACCGACATTAATGTCGTCGGCACTCTCAGTTGACATAATTGGCCTATCCTCCAAAGTCAACTTTGGTGCCCAGGGGACATCGGGTTTCTTGGACCCCGAAGTTGTAGCTGAGGCAGACCTCGGCTTCTTTGATTGGGTGGACTCAGAGGGCTGGGTCTCGGCAGACCTTTTTGCAGGAGCAGAAGAAGTCTTCTTACTCTCAACCAATTTTGAGATAGGCAAGCTATCCTCAGCCTCAACAGCCTTGGCCTTAGGCTGGGCCTTCTTGATTCTTTTTGGCTTCGGTGGGGGCATTGGTTGGGATAGTACAGCATCAACATTAGTCGGGAGGTCGGCAAGGAGATTTTGGGCAATTGGCTTTGCACGACCCATTTCGGCAGTTTTGACAAGGTGTCGCCGGCGTTTCTTTCTGGTATTGGGATCAAGTATGGGGCCGAAGTGGATGGTTGATTGGTTGGGTCAAATGTGGACTCTTGATCTGTTCGGGATGAAGAAGCGGTTATAGTTGTGGCAGTAGGAGGAGAGAGGCTCTTCTTCTTTTTCTTCGGGACGTCGGGCAATGTGGATTTGTATGTCGGAATAAAGTTTAGTAACAGGGGAACCTTGCGCTTGTGAATTGGAAGTTCTAGAAACTTCTTTAAATCTTTTCCAGGGAAGAAGGATTGACGAAAGTTTTTGGATGGCTGATGAAGATCTGCAAGACAAACAAACCAACATTAGAAACAGACAGAGCTTTGAAAACTTGGAAAAGAAACAACTAAGTATTGGCACTGGGCTCTTACCCGTGCCCTCTTTAACTGTTCGAGGAAGAGGGTAGAGGTGAACATCTTCGTCTGGGCCAAATTCCCAATTTCCCGAAGCAATGACAAAGTCATCCCCGGCTCCCTTGTTGGAATCCGGGAGGTCGGCTACAATTTTGAACTCGGTAGACCTCGGCTTGAGGTAGTAGACATAACCTCTTTCCTTCAGGTTAAGGGGGCACATGGTATAACAAAATTGGATATCAGCAAGGGTGATCCTAACGTTCTCTTGCCTAGCCAGGGCTATGATACCATTAATCACTCGATAAAAGTTGATGGTAAGTTGCATAGGGTTCAACCTATAGAAGTGGAGAACCTCGTGAAAGAGGGAATTGAGTGGAAGCCGGAGTCCACATTCAGTAAAGGCTACAATAGGAAAGGGCATCGTATGATCTGTGGGCATGATGGAATCACCATCCCCAGCTAGCCTAAGGTGAACATCGACTGGGATGGAGAACTCCTGCCTAAAGTATTCAAGTTTTGTTGGGGAATTTACTCGATGTCTCCACATACCCATAACGTCGGCCTAAGTTCAGAAGGCTGTGTTTCAAAAGATAGGTGTTTCAAAAGGGTTGCTAGAACCTCGGTTTCAAAACCTGGGTAAGGACTGGTAAGGTTTGTTTCAGTTTTTCCTAAAGATTGAAGGTTCTACAGACAAATCCCAAACCTAAAATTATAAAGACGAAGATCGAGGGCACAGATCTGGTAAAAACACAAAAAACAGAGAACAAAAGCGAAGTTTCAGAGACAAGAACAGGGATGGGCTCTCAAGAACACGAAGAATACAAAGGGTTAAGGGCCAAGAACAGTGGTGAAACAATCCAAGTGTTCATAGCATGTGAAAAATCATGAAATAAGACGCATTCAGGTGAATGATTCGCAAATAATGCCTAAGAAGAATAGTAATCACAAGAAACTCCAGAACTGATCAAGAACTGAAAAAAAGGGGTTAAGGGGGACCAGTTGCTTACCAGATAAAGTGAAGCCGGAGCAATATTCGCCAAGATCAGACGGCAGTTGAAACAGTGGCAAAAGCTTCGCAGGAATGGAAGAATAAAGACGATCGCAGAATTTGGGGCTTAGAGCAATGATAGATTCGAAGAATGCTAAAGCTTTTAGAGGGAGAAAAAGTAAGAAGTCAGAATACAGAAAGTGGAGAAAGGAAGAAGGAAAGAAGTTTTGTAAAAAAATTTAAAACGGCGGCAAAACAGGGCATTTATTGTGCCTGGAGCACCGGATACGTCAGACGGCGCAGATGAATAAAAGATAGCTTTCAGGCGCGTCATAGACACGGGCCAATGAAGACAGAGCACGTGAAAGGAACGGTTAGATGTGCATGACAGCTCATGCGCGTGGTGGAGTTCATTTGGATTCTTGTTCTCTGAAGAGAACACATCGGCTTGAGAATGCATTACCTAGGCCAAACAGTTTTTGAACCACTATGCAGAAAGAAATATTGATATAGGTTCCATCACCTCAGAATGCCGAGGTAATAGAACCTAGGGGGCAGTTGTGGAGATATATTTCTTGGGTACCAACACGTGGCATGGCGACGCCGACGTGTCGTGGAAATTACGCCGAGGTGATCTCGGAGTTGCCGAGGTTATCTCCGAAGATATCGGAATCCGAGATAAGCGGATAAGGGACAAGAGTCCTAGGACAAAGAGGAGACTTAGCCAAGATAAGGATAAAGCTCTTAGGGAGTTTATCTTTATCTCTTGAAGAATCCAAAGTAAGTATTAAATTGAAATCCATAGAAGTCAGGCTTCTAATAGGACTTGGATTGAGTAAACTATAAAAGAGGGGCACCTCCATGGGTCTAAGGTACACAGTTTTATACTCAAACTTGTGAGTTTAGCACTTGATTATCTTTGAGAGATATACTGACTTGATCGTCGGAGTGTCCCCGGGTGGAGGAGCCACCGCCGGAGCCTTTTTCTTTCTGTTTCAGGTTACTAAAGCCATCTATTCTGCCGGTGCTCTCCAGCTGATTACTAGGCGGGCAGTGTGGTAAGAAAATTACCCACACGATATGATTTGAGAAAATTTATTTGATGGTCTTGAAATATTACTCTACATTTATCAAAAATAAAAATAAAAACAAACACAAACACAAATATAATTGTTAGGTCCCTTGATTGTCAAATTCGGATACAAAACCTTGAGTTGTAAAAATTATTTATTTTCTGTGTTTTTGTTCTTCCCGCTCGAGCGGGGACATTGACGCTCAAGCGGAGTTTGTGGTCTCTCAGTATATTGACAGGTCTGTAAAAGTACTGGAGTGCGTAATTTTGCGCTCGAGCGGATCACTGTGTTATTACACGCGTATTTTATTGAAGCCGCTCGAGCGGGATGTTGGGCGCTCATGCGGAGATCGCGGATTCAGGATTCCTATTTATATTTGTTAGGTTGTTTTTAGGACTACTTTTTTCCTAGATCTTATTCAAGAGTCCTAGGGCTTTGTTTGATGTTTGCTTCTGAAGTTTTGATGAGTTTTTCCTTGATGTTTTGAGAAGAGTTCTTCACTCATGTTCTAAAATACATACATCAAGGAGTTGGTTACTTTAAATTCAAGAGAGAGTTCTCTTCGGTGGATTCCGAAGATTCAAGCGTATAGTTTCGAAAGACGTTTGATTCTATACGTAAGGTTGTGGAATCAACTTCAGGATTGATCAGTTCCGAGACGAAGTCGTGGAGAAAGAGTTACAGAAGATTCGAAGACAAATTGACTGAGTTGGGTAATTTGTATGATATCTTTGTAATCTTTTTTACTTCAGTAGTGGATTGATTAGTGACGTTTCGCCGTGGTTTTTTTAATCACAGTCGGAAGTGTCCAATTGTGGTTTTTTCCACGTAAAAATCGTTTGTGTCGATTTATTAATTATTCTGAAAAAAACAAACAATCTAAATCACTTTCGTAAGTGCTTGTTGATTTAGATTGTGTTTTGGATTTCTGGGATTTAGAATATTTTAATCTTGATCTAATCACGAATCACTTAGGATTTTCAATAATGAATCCTACTATTTTAACTAATAAAACTCAAGTTAGGACACCACGTAAATTTGCCCTAAAACCATCATATAATTTTCCAAAATTCAAATGAAGAATCATTCTGGTCTGGTGATGGAATATCAAATTTTTGCAAATCAATGTCACCCCCATCAATCCAATATAAAATCAGCATTATGTATTCCAAAAAAATTGTCAATACATCAGAATGCTTACAACTTTGTATTCTTCAAGATCTTCATCAGTTTTCCAGTCGTAGGTTATAAAAAAGGACATTTTTAGTACTGTAAGGGAATTAATTTAAGAAAAAACCTAGAACGTAAAGACCAATTACAAAATTGAACATAATACACTCACATGAGACGAGTCTCACCTATTTATAAGTTTCACACCTATGTGAGAGAATTATGAATTATGTCCAGTTCTATAATCAATTTATGTGCAAATAAAAGAACCGCTAATTTAACGCTAGACTAAAACCAATATTGGCTCGTACACATGTTTAGTAATGTACTGGTGCCATGTAAGAGTCATCTTTATAGTTAAACCAGTCAACTTTTTGCAGACAAATTCTCCTGATCCAAAGAGGAGCTTCTATGATTTTTCACTGCAAATTAAAAAGAAAAGAAATTAATTTTGCAGTTAATTCTATATACTTCAAATGAAATCAAAGGAACAAGAGAACGATAGTTGAAGGGTATAGTTACCAGGACTTAAAATCTGAATGCATTTTGTTGTGGATTTTACAGAAGTCACAGATTCTGGGCCTGTTTGTCAAATAAAATTCAAAGTGAAAACCATGTAAAACATATACAACAAACAAATGAATCATCAAAATTGCGTAACATGAGTGATTTACCTTGTACATTTGTGTCTTCCTCTGAAAAAATTTCTGTCACAGTTGATGAAAGCTCGGACAAAACTTGATTAGCCCCCAAATCAACATTCCATGGTTCATGTGGTGACCTGTGCAATGTTTATGAAACAAAATTACCATTAGACGGAACCAAAGAGAATAATAGGCAAAAATTGAGTCATGGATAGGCATTGTTTGATCAAAGAGAATTTACCCAGAATGGGAGTTTGGAGAAGAATCCAACAGTGATGAGCAAGAAAATTCCCCGCCGAGATCAAAATCAACCAACAATTCACTGAGGGAGAAATCAATACCAAAAGCATCCAAATTAGGCAAATCCAAGTCAAAAATCTCTCCTTCCTTGTTAGAATCAGATAATGAAATCCCATCAGGAATTGGTTTCCATGAGTTGTCAGAACCATCAAAATCTAGCCTTCCCTTTACATGATCCCTCTTGTTAAGCCTATTCAAGTTTGTCTTGACGGGCGAGGAAGAAGAAAAGCAGTGGTTTCTCTCTATTGAATAGTAGGTTAGCTGTTTGACAGGGCTCACTCTAATTGTCTCTGAGGAAATCACAATGCAATTAGCAGAAGTCTTTTGCTGTGGAGAAACATCGTTATCAGAAGTAACAGCTGAAGAAGTTTCCAGTGGAGAAGCAGATTTATTGGCTGAGGAATTCGCTCGGAGAGGTGTCTTAGGAACAGGGAAATTAGTTGGTGGTGACCCATTAAGCACCATATCATGAGGTGATGATGGAACTGCAGAGAACTGCAGGCCATTTTTTGGGTTAGTCACTGCATTGCTTGATTGTGAACAAGTACTATTACCTGCAAGGAAAATGGTGTAAATAACAATAATTAGGATTAAACATACAAAATTTATGAGGAGAGATAACTTTAATAAAGAATTTTCTTTTTTAAACCTTTGATTGGCAGCTGATTGGAGGGTAAGTGACTACACAATCTCTTTGCAGTTGAAGGGATATCCGGAACATCTTTTGGACTCTTTCTTCTTTTTGCAGTTGGATGATTTGTAATAGGTGTCGAGAAATTTGATGCATCCATTTGAGTGTTGGAGGGATTGGATGATGGCATCATTATTGGGGTGTTGTACACAGGATAATCTGTTAAAAGGACATCAGAGAAGAAGTTGCCACTTAATTTGGTGATTTTTTGCTTGATTTTGTCACATTTAGTAGAAAACACAAGGTAAAGAGAACACACCATTCAGCTTATTGTATCCCAAAATAATTGATGAGGACAAATGGTTTAAAAAAAGATTTACATTACATTCATGAAATTTACTTTTAGCAAATTATTGATGGATATATGTCTCAAAAAATTATTGCTTCATCCCAACAGACACAAGCCATAAGAGTTAGGCTGTGTTGTGAAATGTAACTATATTTGATTTACATCTCATCCACCATTTCCCTTTCGCTTGAATTAATCAACCTGCTTTTCATCAAGATTTGCAAGTGTAGCTCCAACACTCTTGAAATTCAAATTCCTTAAATTACATGGATGCACAGTGATAAATAGGATCCAATTGATTCATGATCAGGATATCAAAATTTTTAGATTGAAGCTCAGCTGAAATAGAGATTAAATGTAAAATTTAAATGGATAGTGATATACAAATAGACAATTAATACATAAAACCTATACAAATTAATGTTGTCGATCCTACTTGATTGGGACACGAAACTTAGTTTGGTTTGGTTTAATTTTCTTATAAAGCTTCTGTTTGCAAATTATTTTTCAAATTGTAAAGCTTTCAATGTGTTAAGTAGTGAACAGGTTAGGCAGCTCACACAAATAGGATTCCCCAACTCAAACCCCTTAAAAATTCAACAACTTTTGTACATAGCATCAACTCTGCACACCAGTGTCGCTGATTTCCCCACATTATTTAACCTGATTTGAGCCATAACATCGTGTTCATATTGACAACTAAATAAAGGATAAAAGGGAGGCCTAGAAATGTTACCGGCGGGGGACTTAATTGGTAAGTCTATCTGAGGAGCAGCGACTGATGAAACCATGGGCGGCGGAGGAGGGGTGGCGCTTCCACCGGCATTGTAACCGTTCATTACATCTTGCATTCCCCGCAACAGCGTCTGAACCCGAATTTTCTCCTTCTCCAAACAGTACTTTTCTTGATCCAACGTCACTTTTTGCTCCTTCAAACATATGTACTCATCCAAAATTGCCCCCAAAGTCAACAAACTCTTCGGCGCCTACAAAACCCACATAGCTCCTCAGCTAAATTCACGAAATAACAACAACAATCAAAGAAAAACCCAGAAATTTTACAGCTCTAAAACATAATATGGATACAAATACCTCTTGAACTCGAGATTTAGAGATGAGATCGGAGGCTTCGGTGCGAAAAGTGGAGCGAGTTTGAGAAAAGTTGTTGTCGGAGAGATATTGGTCCACGATAAAAGCGATTTGGACTGGAGTGACTTTCCCTTTACCATAGCTTTCTGGTTTTCTGGACTTGGATTTGGTCTGCTTCCCCATCTCTGGTCTTCAAAGTTGGAGAATCAAAACACAGAGAGAGAGAGAGAGAGAGAGAGAGAGAGAGAGAGAGAGAGATTATGAAAATTGGGGGTAGTGAAAGTATGAAGGAAGATAAAGAGAGATCTGGGTGGGAAAAAACGCGGGAGTGTTTGAAAGTTTTGGAGGAAAACAATTTTCATGTTTGGCAAATGAAAGTCGCGAGAGTTTTAGCGGTTATTTTGGCGCTTCCTTCTTCGAGCTTTTAAAACTAAACGACAAAAGTTAAACCCGTCAAAATTGGAACTCTGGCGGGTCGCATTAAAAAAGAAGACACATGGACCCGACTTGTTAGAATTCGGTCCATGCCATGTTGTGGAACCATTTCTTCATTTCTTTCTTTCTTTCTTTTTTTTTTAAATGTAAATAATATTAAGAATATTAACAAATAGCTTAACTAGACATAAAATTAGATCAACTCCACATTAAATAGTGGAACACCTTGCAAATATCCTAAGACCTGATTTGAAAAGTAGATTAAAAATTGATTTTTTAACTTTTATTTTTTTTTTTTTAAACGTACAAAAATATAAAAAGGAGATGTGACCAAAAAAAGTCAAAAAAAAGTTAAAAAACTGCTTTCATTTTTGAATTTCTAAAAACTCTTTCTCTATAAAAATGGAAAAGAATGGGTAAATTTCAACTTTTTTTTTTATTCTTATTTAGAATAGCTCAAAAAACAAAATAAAAACCGAAAATAAAACCAACAAAGCCCAACTCCTTTTTGGAAACATTAAATTTTAGTTAAAAAAAGACAAAAAATAAATATTTCTTCTATTTTCTCTGCATATTTTTTTTTATAAAATTAAAAAAAAATCATTCTCAAACATTTCAATTTTTTAACTAGACACAATATTAAACTCCACATTGTGGGAGCATCAAGTTTTAGCCAAAAAATTAACTATTTTTCTATAAAAAAAAAAAATACACATTTTTTAATAAAAAATAAAAAATTACATGCAAAAAAGAATTCTCAAAACAATTCTAAACCCACACCCATTGCATATTCCACTCGCTCATTATCTGATTTTTGGTCTGATGGTGAGAAAGTGGCCCAGGGCCGAAGTACAAATAAAGCCCACATTTGGTATTCTGGTAATTATCCAAAACGAGGATTGTAATCAAAAGAAAATCCAAACCAGAAATCATCTCGGATTCCTTACGAAGACGAAGACGAAGACGAAGACGAAGACGAAGACGAAGACGAAGACGAAGACGAAGACGAAGACGAAGACGAAGACGAAGACGAAGACGAAGACGAAGACGAAGACGAAGACGAAGACGAAGACGAAGACGAAGACGAAGACGAAGACGAAGACGAAGACGAAGACGAAGACGAAGACGAAGACGAAGACGAAGACGAAGACGAAGACGAAGACGAAGACGAAGACGAAGACGAAGACGAAGACGAAGACGAAGACGAAGACGAAGACGAAGACGAAGACGAAGACGAAGACGAAGACGAAGACGAAGACGAAGACGAAGACGAAGACGAAGACGAAGACGAAGACGAAGACGAAGACGAAGACGAAGACGAAGACGAAGACGAAGACGAAGACGAAGACGAAGACGAAGACGAAGACGAAGACGAAGACGAAGACGAAGACGAAGACGAAGACGAAGACGAAGACGAAGACGAAGACGAAGACGAAGACGAAGACGAAGACGAAGACGAAGACGAAGACGAAGACGAAGACGAAGACGAAGACGAAGACGAAGACGAAGACGAAGACGAAGACGAAGACGAAGACGAAGACGAAGACGAAGACGAAGACGAAGACGAAGACGAAGACGAAGACGAAGACGAAGACGAAGACGAAGACGAAGACGAAGACGAAGACGAAGACGAAGACGAAGACGAAGACGAAGACGAAGACGAAGACGAAGACGAAGACGAAGACGAAGACGAAGACGAAGACGAAGACGAAGACGAAGACGAAGACGAAGACGAAGACGAAGACGAAGACGAAGACGAAGACGAAGACGAAGACGAAGACGAAGACGAAGACGAAGACGAAGACGAAGACGAAGACGAAGACGAAGACGAAGACGAAGACGAAGACGAAGACGAAGACGAAGATAAAGATGAAGCAAGGGCTTCTCTCATGGAGTCCTTTCCCCCACTTTCTCTCTCTACCCATCTCTCTCTCTCTTCCCTCCAAAACCCACTTCACCAAAACACCCACCAGACTCTTCGCTCCAATTTCTGCAACTCTCGAGTCTGTAAACGAACAAATCCTCACAGCTAGAGAGAGAAGACAGATGAGGAATGAGAAGAGAGAGAGCAAATCCACCTACAATTGGAGAGAGGAAGTGGAAGAGAGGCTCATGAAGAAGCCCAAGAAGAGGAACGCTTCGTGGACCGAAGAGCTTAACCTTGACAACCTCGCTCTCTTGGGTCCTCAATGGTGGGTTGTCAGAGTTTCCAGAGTTTCTGGTCAGGACCATGCTGAACTACTCGCTCGATCGCTTGCCCGAAACTTCCCTGACATCGATTTCAAGGTAAATTTCATGTTGAATAGTTGTGATTCAGAGTTTTGGTTTGTGGGTTTGTTTTGAGACCTCAAAATTGAGTAAAAGCTTCATTTTACATGAACCACCAGGCCTGTGGTCAAACTCATATTTACGGTTAAATTTGAGTAGAAGTTTGCAACTTTAAATTTGAGAGTAGCAAAATAACTTAAAAATTTTGAATATACAATTGAGTTGAGTCTGCTTGATTGGGGTAAAACTTTGAGTGAAACTCAATTTGGTTTAAGTTTGGGTCAAGGATTAAAGGGTGTTTTGAGTGATTTTTAACCCAAATTTAAATTTGATATGGGCTTGAGCCAAGGATTGAGATGCAAGTCTTTTGGGTATTTGTGCTTAAGTGAATTAATTGAGATCAGTTATTGTAATTGATCCTAAACCTTCAAATGGAGTTCCCACTAAACCAACCAAGTAGTTCCTACTAGGACAATATGAGATTTCTTATTCGTTGGTGATATACCACCACATATCCCATATTTACTCGGAAATGTTCACATTGGGTGCAACGGTGATACCACCTTATGGAGTGAATTGGAACTTAAGTGCTACTCAGGGAGAAACTGGAATCCAAGATGAAATAAGAAAATTTGAAATTCAGGAACTATTATTTCTTCTGAGGGAATTAATGTATGAACCGGTTGAGAAGTAGTGGTTAATGTTGATTGTCTTGTTCAGGATTCTTGAATTACTTGGTATTGAATGGTTATTTTGGAAGATACATGAACAATGTGTTAACACTCGAAAGGCAGAGCTGTATTGCAAATAATTAAAGTGGTACATTTTAAGAAAGCATGAAATATGGAAACTTTTGCAGCTAAGAATTAACTAAAATTAACAGAGCTCCTATTTAATTTTATTTGATTTTGTTGAGGTGATACTCCTCTTGTTCCTCACTGTATTCTTCACTAACAATGCACATCAGTTTTGGTCATTTTGAGCATTCCACGGTGCTTCTTGTCATTTGTTTTCTTGAAGATGTGTTGATGTTGTTTTAATTATATCTGTAATGTTGCTTCATTATCGAAATGTTGAAATTTTGGAAATTTAGATGTAAGATGCTTAACATTTTATTATAGAGTTAGAACTGAGAACACTTTTTTATTCGTCATCAATCCCTTAATTTTTATTCTCAGGTCTATGTTCCAGCTGTTCAGGTGAAAAGGAAATTAAAAAATGGATCATACTCAATTAAACCAAAACCTCTTTTTCCTGGGTGTGTGTTTTTGAGATGTGTACTGAACAAGGAAATACATGACTTTATACGTGAATGTGCTGGGGTTGGAGGCTTTCTTGGATCAAAGGTCGGAAATACGTAAGCATTTGCTCTCTTTTCGGTCACATTCTTTTGATTTTGTAGAACTACTTGTTTGTAATATAGCTTTGAATTTTGTAAATATCTCTAATGAGTCTAATCTCATGGGGAAGTATTAGATTTTCTTACTTTCACAGATAGGAAACAGTTATGGGATAACAAAATGGTGGAACGTAGTTCAGATTTTGTTTGTTCCAACTTCATAGATTATATGTAAATTGTTCCATTTTCTGAATGTGAATTCTTTCTCCGGCCACTGTGACTGCTGCCCTTTGTTCATGACTACAAATAAAGCCCACATTTGGTATTCTGGTAATTATCCAAAACGAGGATTGTAATCAAAAGAAAATCCAAACCAGAAATCATCTCGGATTCCTTACGAAGACGAAGACGAAGACGAAGACGAAGACGAAGATAAAGATGAAGCAAGGGCTTCTCTCATGGAGTCCTTTCCCCCACTTTCTCTCTCTACCCATCTCTCTCTCTCTTCCCTCCAAAACCCACTTCACCAAAACACCCACCAGACTCTTCGCTCCAATTTCTGCAACTCTCGAGTCTGTAAACGAACAAATCCTCACAGCTAGAGCGATGAACATATATGACCCAATGGCACTCAACCCCCGAGGAAATCTTCCAAATGTTGAGACAAACTTACCTCAAGTGTTGAAAATGAGAAAAGAAGCGCCGAAATCAAAATTTAATCGGTCCAAAGTGATGAAAACTGAAAGATTTCGCGAAAACAACTTGCGTGGGGCATTGGAAAACGTGTATAGAGCTCAGATCTGAAGGGGAAAATGGTCTAGGAAGGTAGAGAAGGTGTTTTTGGAGCTGAAGTTGTGAGGAATGAGGCTTTGGCCGAGTATATTTAAAGAAATGGGAGCAAAAAGACTAAACTGTCCCGGATTTGGGCTAGGTGGTCGGCCGACCACCTTTTGTGGCAGGCCGACCACCCCCTTTGTAAAAAGCTGGTCGGTGGCCTCTCCCTGGGACAAGACCTGGTCGGTGGTGTTCCCCAAGTGCCCACCAAGCTCTCTGCAAATTTTGGGAAGGATTGGAGTCCCCGAGACCTGAAAATGTACAAGAGAAGTGCACTTTCCGTTGCGAAATCGCTCTACCGGAACTTCAACTCCAACTTTCGATGCGTTTTTCATCGTTACTCGTCAAAAGTGAGATGTATCCTTTTCGAACATGTTGCGACCCCTCCGGGAGGTAAACCGGAGGTCGCAATTGCGTCACCCTCATCGAAAACTCGCATTTCTTTGCTCGTCGTTTTACGACAAATTCGCATTCGAATTCACATTTATTCTGCATTGTTATGCACGTCACTTGCACTCTCATAAACACCACTCATACTATTGTGCACATTTCACAGGTATTGTCAAATCCTCGTGCTTAACCCACGTTGTCACGCGCGTTACTACTCGCATTGCGATGCACTTTTCTATCGATGCCGCGATTGTCTGCATTCAATATCGCTTCGAACATGTGTTGCTAATTATGTTGTGCTTGTCGAGTTTCCTTCTTTTGCAGACACGATATTGTATGTACGGTTCATTTGAGGCTGGTGCGACCAAACGAACCGCGCAGGTATTGTATCTTCTCCGTGTGAGACGTGGCGAGAATTGAATAATTCTCCGCATTCTTAACTGCATGAAATGTAGTTGTTGCTTTGCATTCTTGCTTAAAACTGTTGCATCTATTGTGAATATGTGCTTCATTACAGCTTGCTGCATTTGCATGATCATTGAGATACCTTCGGCTTCTTTCATTGTCGGTTGCATTTTGCCCCTGCATGCGGGCATGCCTCCGGGCACATCTCTATTTGTCTTGCCTGTTTGTCTAAGTCTTCGGCCTTGTCAAAAATGGGTCGTCTCTGGACTTTGACATTCACTCCCGTCACTCATGACTTCCTAGTTCTGTCAAAGAGGGGCAACTGTAGACACCCCATTTTTGACCGACCTTAAGACTCAGACGTCACTAGTTGAGCGCTCGGTGATATTGCATATTGTGCTCGTTTAGAAGTTTCAGAGTCTCGGCTGCAAGCCTTGCCTCTAGACTTCCAGGCTCTTTCGTGCCTTGCCTCGGTTTGTGAACCAGGCTCTCTTTTCTCTGTTTTCTCTTCCCGAAGGGAGGGAGAGGTCTCGTAGACCATCTCTCAGTGGCCGTAGGCTACGTTTCGTGGTCGTAGGCCATTTTTCCCGTTTGGAGCCTGGTTTTCGATTTTTTCGGAGCCGACGGTCGTGTGCCTCGGTTCGGGACCGCCTAACCACCTCCGTTTGCTCCGGTTTTTGGCACACACCTTATTTCCTCCATTTTGAGGAACACTGTGGCCCGAGAGACCAACTTCGTGGTCGAATGCCACCTCTGGTGCTTAACAGCCCATTTTCGGGGCCCCGGGCCGCTCGTTTCGGTCCCCGAACCTCCGTTTTGCATCCGTTTTGGTTCATTTTTGGTGGAGACCTTATTTTCATAGTTAAGAAGCTTGTAGGAGGGTGGGAGGCCAGAAATTGTTCTGAAAAGCCAGCTTTATTTCTTCATCGCTCTCTGACGCCCGTTTTCTTCACTTGAAAGCCAATGTTGACCACTCCGAGGCCACTTTCTTGAACCCTAAACCCCATATTTGTGTTGTACACACTTGGGAGGCCACCAATATTTGGTGGCCGACCAGCAATTGTGCCTGACCCTTTTGAACCCCTCTAAAAAATGGGTTTTTCTCTCTCCTGGTTCACATTCTCCGGGTTTCAACTACGTAGTTGTGTTGTGCACATATGGGAGGCCACCTTTTTGAGGTGGCCGACCAGCAATTATCCTTTCCCCATTTGACCCTTGGTCGGCCGGCCATGGGGGTGGCCGGCCGGCCCCCTGAACCTTCTGAACCTGGCCGGCCATGACCCTCTCACCTGGTTCCTTACAGCGGCACCCTCTGTTTCCCCCCAGATCCTGTATTCGAGGGGGGGTCTTTTGGGGGGGGAAATTTGAATTTGATTTCCCCTCCTTTTCTCCACTCCTCTCCTCTATAAAACCAGTGCCTCAACTCCTTGTTTAAGGGTTACAAAATTGGTTTTGAGCCTTGGCTTACAACTCTCACTCTCTCTCTACTTCAACCCTCTAAACCCTAAAAGCCTTGCACCATTTACACTACAACACATAACACAAGACCTCCACACTCCATTCCAGCAACTTGAAGTTGTTTTTCAGAGGATAGGAGCACCATTTCTGGGTCCAAAAGTTACTGTGTTGCTGCTCTACAAGGGTGAGTCTTCTTCCTCTCTTTTCTAGCCTTTTCTTGGTTCATTTACAAGTCATACTTGCAAGCATTTTTGGGCTCCAACCCAAACTGTAAATAGTCATATTTTGACCCTCTTTTCATGTTTGATCAAGGACCTCCGGCTGTTTGAGGTCTTCTACTACCACTTGCCTCTTTATCTCTCTTTTAGGCCATTTTTTTGCATAGTATTTTAGGCTTATTTGTGAGTTATTTTGGACTTGGTCATAAACTGTAAAATAACTTTTTTTGAGCCCCTCTTCAACATTGTTGAAGGGCTCTCCTCTGTTTGAGGGCAGAAGCTATCACTTGCCTCTTTATCTCTCTTTTAGGCCAATTTTTGCATAATATTTTAGGCTTATTTGTGAGTTGTTTTGGACCTTGCCATAAACTGTGAAATATCTTGTTTTGAGCCCCTCTTATTTGTGTATCCAGCACACTCTCTTCACTTTTGTGTATCTATCACACATGCTCGCTAAGATTGCATCATAACTACATGAAATGTAGTTTGATTTTCCTTCCCGCTTAAAACTGTCACATTTATTATGAATATTTGCTTCGTTACAGCTTTATTTACATTATCCTTACTGCATGAAATGTAGTTAGATTTGTATATGCTTGCTGCTTTGCATAATCACGAGTTATGTCCGGCTTTGTGCATATCATTTTGCATCTTGCCCCCTGCCTGCGAGCATGCCTGCGGGCACATCTTTGTTATCTTGCCTATTTGTCTAAGTCTTCGGCCTTGTCAAAAATGGGTCGTCTCTGGGCTTTGACATTCACTCCCGTCACTTATGACTTCCGAGTTCTGTCAAAGAGGGGCAACTGCAGACACCCCATTTTTGACCGACCTTAAGACTCAGACGTCACTGATTGAGCGCTCGGTGATATTGCATTTTGTGCTCGTTCAGAAGTTTCAGAGTCCCGGCTGCAAGCTTTGCCTTCGGACTTCCGGACTCTTTCGTACCTTGCCTCGGTTTGTGAACCAAGATCTGTTTTCTCTGTTTTCTCTTCCCGAAGGGAGAGAGAGGTCTCGTAGATCATCTCTCAGTGGCCGTAGGCTACGTTTCGTGGTCATAGGCCATTTTTTCCGTTTGAAGCCCGGTTTTAGTTTTTCGGAGCCGACGGCCGTGTGCCTCGGTTCGGACCGCCTAACCATCTCCGTTTGCTCCAGTTTTTTGGCACACACCTTATTTCCTCCCTTTTGAGGAACACTGTGGCCCGAGAGACCAACTTCGTGGTCGAATGCCATCTCCGGTGCTTAACAGCCCATTTTCGGGGCCCCGGGCCGCGCGTTTCGGTCCTCGAACCTTCGTTTTGCATCGGTTTGGGTTCATTTTTGGTGGAGACCTTATTTTCATAGTTAGGAAGCTTGTAGGAGGGTGGGAGGCCAGCAGTTGTTCCAAAAAACTAGTTTTATTTCTTCATCGCTCTCTGACGCTCGTTTTCCTCACTTGAAAGCCAATGTTGACCACCCTAGGGCCACTTTCTTGAACCCAGACCCCATATTTGTGATGTACACACCTGGGAGGCCACCAATATTTGGTGGCCGACCAGTAATTGTTCCTGACCCTTTTGACCCCCTCTAAAAAAGACCTTATTTTCATAGTTAGGAAGCCTGTAGGAGGGTGGGAGGCCAGCCATTGTTCAGAAAAGCTAGCTTTATTTCTTCATCGCTCTCTGACGCCCGTTTTCCTCACTTGAAAGCCAATGTTGACCACCCCGGGACCACTTTCTTGAACCCTAAACCCCATATTTGTG